CCTGATGGTAAGTGGATGCTGTGGCCTATAGACATCTACATTTATCTTCAATTGAAAATCAAAATGCAGATGTGTTACCAGCCCTGAGGACTGAGATAGAATGCCTTGTTTACATTAAAAAGGGTCTCTATACTCACCATTCGAAACACAGCAGCATTAAGCTGCTATTTTAGTTTGGTTTCTATCATGGGCACAGCATCGAGATGAGGTTGATCCACCTGCATCTTTTTTATATGATATATTACTATCAAGTGATATTGAAAATACAGTATGATGATTATAGCCTTAATGCGTATTAATATTGTAATATTAATGATGATTTTTGCCATAGTTGCTATAATTCTGGCAACCAAAGTTTTTTGTGGTATTCTATAGGAAGATGCCGCTGCTCATCTCCTGATATTTTTATTTTACTCTGTCGACTTTTACAACACCATATGGGACGGGGTGGCAATTCACGAAAGGCCTGTGTAATATTTTACATTATATATTTAGTTTAGGAGGCCTATGTTCAGCAGTGGACTGTCGCAATGATGATGAATAATGATCAATTAAAATTGTAATGTTTGTTGTTTATTTTACCTATTTCAATTTTACTGTGTGCTTTTATTTTCTGTTATATATTATGTTATATGTGTAATTTATAAATAAACGCCGAGCAAAGTTGAATTTAATGCTCTGGCATCCTATTTATCTCTTTTAATTGACAATCTCCTTCTGATTTATAATAATATAAATGGGTATCTCAAGACATTATATTTTAATGATGTTTGGAATTTATACTTGCTAATAAATGAATACTTTAATAAACAAAGGGCCCGCACTGCACCTATCTGCTGTGTTATTTTTAAGAAAGGACTTATAAAGTGCCAAAGATTTTTATAATAATAAATGCAGTGATATTATACATAATGTTTGGGATTTATAGGACAGATGTAGGGTGCGCTTTGATAGATACCCTATTATTGTGTGATAAATAGTTGTTGTATGGTTCCACCACATATTTTTATTTAGCAAACACTGCAACATGCTTTAAGTCGCATGTATGAAGTTATATTATTTGCCCTAGGAACATATTGATTCAACAGGCAAGGTCCTATTATAGTGAACATGTCAGGTTTCACAGAGGGTATCGAATCGAAGGACAGTTGGGTGATGTGCACATGTTATGAAGCTTGTGTGGTACCTTGGGTGGGCCAGGCATCAGCCGACAATATTGCCAGTGCCAACATCACTCCTTGATGTTGTAGATATACGAGAGGATGATGAATAAAAAGTAATTTTGTCTAGCCTACTTGTTTCATTAAAGTACTCCTAAATTCTACCATTACACTTCATTTATTCCTGTAACCTACCATTACTCGACTTTTCAATGCAACTTTAGTATTGAAGACTGAAAGACAGTAGATATCTAGCGACTAACTCTTCAGCTAGAATTAAAATGCTCAAACTACAAAAAAGCCTTGAAATCTTTTAGGAAAGACTTCGTGTGATAATAATTACGTCCTTGTCCCGTCCTTGTTTTTACACTACATACTGTGCAAGCTAGTGCAATACATGTATGTGTAGTTTTTATTGAATTATCGGTCATAATTTGTTGACGAAACGGTCAACTTCACGAGATGGTTTGACAGACGGCCCTTTTTGATTTGACATCGAACTCTAGGAGTATGGTGCCCATACGTAGGGTGCGCTTTGAGAGATGTTCTATTATTGAGTAATATAATTATTTTAACTACACTATTAGGCTACGTCTCAGTCGGATAAAGCGTTCAAGCAAGGTTTTTCGTTAAAAATCAAAATGTACAATAAATTGCCTTTAGAAATAACAAGACTTCGTTTCGACAAGTGACAAAAACATACTTTATGAATCACGCTTTCTATAATATAGAAGAATATATGAAATGTTCATTTTCTGACTTGCTTGACATGTAAAAATAATCTAAATGTATTTTGATTTGTAATTTTAATAATGTAATGTAATCTTATATCATTTGTATTGATTGTAATTTTTACATACCAATGTTATATTTAAAATGGCCAATAAAAAAAATTAAAAGGTATTTGTTGATTCAGCCTTAAAAATATTTTTGACGTTATTATAAAAAATCGTGGCTATTTAGATATTATTTTTAAACGTGATTGTTTTACAACATAAAAGCAAACCAACCTAACTATAGTTTGTTTTGGGACATGAAAAAAAAGTCAAGTCCAGCTCCTATAGAAATTTGGCCATCTTCCTTTATGGAATAACCAGACGTCAGTATTGGAGTCAGAATATAATTTATTAAAACGTACAGAAGATTTGGTAGACAAACAACATAAAACTATTAACAAACATTTAATAAACCTGGACAAACAGACCAACAACTTGCAAGCGGAAATAAAAAAACATGTCAATTGCGCAAGACTTTACGTTGTTCTCCCATAAAATTCACACCTATCAAATTGAGATGAAGAAGGACTTATTTTTTCCAAAAATTGACCCATTGTATAACATCATCAAAATAAGCATAACTTCAGAACCTCTAAACCAAAATGACAATCAGATTTAAACAGCTCCTTACATAACTTACACCGTCAAATACAAGACCTGAAAGAGAATAACGTGCAGTTAACCACATTATCGTCGCACGACATCCATCACTACGCAATCAACTGCGTGTTAATCGGAGTGGCAGCAGTCGTAGCGGCGGTGTTCGTGTGGCGACGGCGATGGCGGCGACGGCGGCGGCGTGCGCTCATCTCCCCGGACTTGGAGCTGCAGTCGGCGAGTAGTGTCAGTGCAGTGAGTGCGGGAAATAAAAGAAAGGCTAACCGTAAGCCTAGTGTTTTCACAGTGAGTGCTAGTGCGCGAAATTGTGATGTTGACCGTCAACATATGGGCCATAGTGATGTGTCGCACCGCACACCGCATAGACGTTTCAATGTTTAATTATAAAATTAATTGTTATATCATAAATTAGATACAGTCATCATCTTGATTTAACAAAATAACAAACATTCATTAGGTTAATTTACAAATTGTTTATCACCTTGTTACTTAGATAAGATCACCTAACATATCAAACTAACATTATAATCACCTTTGAACATTTTGGCCCGGCAGCATGTACGGGCCAACCGTACATTTCTGCTGGCTTTAACATTTTACTTGAAGCAATCGCTATAGTTCGACAATTATAAAAATTGAGTTAGTTCACGTAATCACCGTAACCGCGGCAGACGTGAGCTCATTAACATAACATTTAACATTTTTAACATATTTTAAACTTATATTTTTTAACTTCTTTATTAAACTGTTTTTATATAAAATTTTTATTATTATTAAACATACGTCCAATACCCGAACAGATTCAAACCCACAGCCTTTTGAGTTGGCGTTCTAACCTATATTCTATCTCATTATCTTGCAGGCTAAATTCTATATACCATCTCATTCTCTTGCAGGCTAAATTCTATAAATATATTATTTTAGTGTCGCTCTTTATCCTTTCAACGAGTTTTCAAATCACGATTCTAAAAAAGTTTTCACTTTATTAAAAAAAGGACACAGGCGGAGCAATGAAACTATTGAAACCAATTTAATAAAATGCTTTAATAAAGCGAACAACACCACAATAACAGCTTATGTTAATTGCCATATCGCATTAATTAAAGTACAATTTCTACATACTATTAACAACAACATAATTAATTAGCAAATATTTTCGAAGTAGTCTTCTTGCACATTTGGCTTTTTTTTAAACGTGTATACTCTCCAAACTAATTTCATAAAATCGGCAAATATAGACAAAAATAGTTACCGTTATCGTTACAGTATATATAAGCCCACTGCTGGGCATAGGCCTCAGCCGCAAATTGCTTGGCAGGCGGGTTGGCGGCCGCAGTTTTTTATTTTTAGTCGTTATTAGATAAATCGCACTGATTCCATCTCCCGATTCGCCTCCCTGCGTCGCCTCATACGACATCCGAGGGACGATACGGCGCAGCGGATGTTCGTACACAATAAAAATTTAAATCTAATAAGAGTTGCTTCCATCGAAAAACGTTAACTTTTTGTACACTAAATAAATATTTTTATATAGTTGTAACATGCCCCAAAATACATAACTTACGATAAGGGTTTAATATTTATTCACTAAGTTCACAATACAAAACTAGATGTTAGGAATACTTAGCATAATTACACAGTCTTAAAACAGATATCACTAGCTGTCGCTCGCGCGTTCTGCAGTTTTAAAAGAAAGAAGTTGCCGGTGTCCAGTAGGGACCTTATGCTCATCGAACATACGCGCTCATTAAAAATGTTACGTAAGACAAATAAAAAAACGTTTAAAAGAAAATATTTATTTGAAATCTGTTCGATGGTTTAGTCTAGAGAAACACAAAATTTTACTACCTACTGATTGACTGAGACTGTTGTATATAATTTCATATCTATGGACTTATGAAATATTTTAAAAATAGACTAGGAATCTCCGTATTTGTGATGTAGTATTACGTGGCGTCTGCGTGTCGCAGTGCGAACTGCGAAAACTGGCCAGTGTCTAGAACCTAGCTGAGTTGTAATGGCCAGATATATATATATATATATATATATATATATATATATATATATATATATATATATATATATATATATATATATATATATATATATATATAAACAAAAAGCCATCTTTCAATCTTATACGATCGTACGTCGGCTACAGGCAAGTAGATTAACAGATGTGTCTATTTGGATTAGCATTTTCATTCAGCAGCGTATTAAAGATAGGAAATTTATTATCACTAATCAATAAACATGTACTCATGGTAAATGTAAACAACTAAAATTAAGTCCATAGATTTAAATACAATCAATTTTGCAAATATTCTATTCAATACACAAATATTTCAACTTTTTTTGTAATTTAAAATCGTCAAAGGAAGTGTAGGCAGGTAATATATTTAATTTGTTGCTTATTGTAATATGGCACTTGAGAGCCTAGATCTGCTCATGCCAGGCTGAGGAAGTAGAAGGCGAGCAGCGCGAGAGCATAAAACGTGCCACTGAGCGCGAGCAGTGCGCGCACGGCGGCGCGCTGGCGGGCCCGCCGCCCCTGCGCCCGCCCCGGCCCCCGATCCGCTCCCCGCTCGACCGCACGCACCGCCGCCATGTTGTTGTAGCGCTCCGTGTTGAGCACCTTGCGGCGCAGCGCCTTGCCCGCCGTCTTGTCGCCGGTCGCGGCCGCGTCCGCCACGTTGGCGCCGAGCGGCGGCGCCTCCTTCGCCAGTGCATCGTACGCGCGCTCGTCGGCCGCATCGGCGCGACGTCGCGCCGCCTCCTCGTCGGGCAGCGCGAACTCGGGCCGCGGCGCCTCCGCCGCCGCCGAGCGTGCCGGCGACGGAGCACGCGGCCGCAACTCGCGCGGCGACGGCTCGCGACGCGGCGCCTGTACAGGCGGCGTGACGCCGTCCACCGGCTGTCGGTAGTTCGGCGCGAGCGCACGCGCACGATACTCGTCCGTCACCGCCTCTCCAAAACGCGGCGCCTTGGACACGACGAACACGCGCGGAACGTCACGACGTCGTCGAACGAGGGGTGCATACCGCGGATTCGGCGCGTCCAGGCGCTCACTCGCATCCCGCAGCACTCCCGCATCAGCCGCAATCCGGGAGGTCGGAAATTGCAGTGGCATGTAGTGATGGGAGCGCGACGGGCCAGTGCGTTTGTTAGAGTCGGCGAGGGGCGAGTCCGCGAGGCGAGCGTGCAGCGGCAGGCCGTAGCGGAAATAGCGGTCGCTATAAACGACAGTGGAGAGGGCGCCGCCATGGCCCTGCAGCAAGTTGTAAACGGCGTGCGACAGACTGCGGGCGCGAGGGCGGGCGCGCGGGCGGGCTACGCGGCGCGGCAGCAGGCGGCGTAGCGCGGGCGCGCGGCGAGGCGCTGGCTCGTACGGCTCAGCGTACAGCGCGCGGCGGCGCGGCTCAGCAGCGCGCGCGGCGTGGCGCAAGCGGCGTGGTCGGCGTCAGTCCGCCGGCGCCGGTGCGGGGGGGCCCAGCGCGCGTCGCGCTCTCTCCAACTCGTGTAGCGCCTCTAGCGCCGTGCCAGAGCTCCAGGCCTGCGAGCGGCATGAGTCCGGACAGAACGCGCCGCCCGCGTTGCACAGCTCGGGCACGCCGCGCCACGGCGACGAACGCAACTCGCTCACGAGTGGCGCCAATGCCGCGTACGAGGCGGCCACCGTCTTTGCGTACACACCGTTCTCCTGTGCGAAAGCGAGACGCGCCCGCAGATAGAACCCGAGCGGCCACACCCATTCGGGGCCCTGGTGGTAGTTGTATCCGTGGGCGACATTCGGATCGTCACTGTTGTTAGAGTTATCGTAGTCACCACGGTATGCCCAGTCGGCCGGATCGAGCGTCTTTAGGCCGAGCGGACCTAGCAAAAGCCGCTCGACATTATCAAGCGCGAGCCAGGCGTGCTTCGGGTCGAAGAGTTCGGGCGCAACGGCCATGGCAACAGGAAAATTGCAGCGCAACTGGTAGTCGGCCCAGGGGCGCGTGGCGCCATGCGTGTCCTTGTAGATGGCGCGACGGTGCACGAGGTCGGGGCGCAGGTCGGCGGCGCTGGGCGCGGCCGGTACCCAGAAGAAGCGCTCGAAGTTTCGGCGGATGCGCTCGGCCCACTGCGCGAAGGTCCAGGCGGTGAGCGCGCCGCCGCGGTGGCGCCGAGCCACGCCGGCGTGCGGGTAGCACGCGGCGCGGTGCTGCGCCGCCAGCCAGGCCGCCACGCTATAAGCGAGCGCCACCAGCTCCACGGCACTGCCGTCACGCGGCGTGGCCGGCCGCCCGCGCGTGCCAGCCGTCTCCGACGAGCCCATCTTGTCCATCCACGTGCCGCAGTTGTAGTCGTTGCCTCCGAACGGGAACCCGGTCTCGGGGTCAATGCCAATCTGCACGTTGAATCCCTTATCTGTCATGTGCGCGTCAATCGCGCGCCCGGCGTTACGCTCGCGAAACACAAGGCCCTGAAATACGTTTGAGGTTTAATTAGATTGCTCGCTATCGACTCTCTAACTATGGTGAGAAGAGCAAATTTCACCTGAAAGTGCGTGTCGAGAGCCTCCTGCATGACATCGTGCAGAGGCTGCGTGCGGGGCGCGGGCTCGCCGTCGCGTGCGAACAAGCGCGCCACTGGCTCGCTCAGCAGCGCGTATCCCTGCGGCGCTTCGGTGCAGTACTGCGCAGGGCACATAGGACTTTTAATTAGTCTCAGGTCGTCTTACGTCAATAATAGATTAGCAACGCCTAAAGTAAAAGATGGTCTCTTAAAATTATTCTTTAATAACATTTGTTATACATACACCCACCTGCACTCTTACAATAATAGTTAAATAGGTAATAGCAAATAATTATATTGAAAGAAATTTAGACAAAACACCCTTTATGATCAAGTCAAGGATTGCAAGTATATCAAAATTAACACGTTAACTGTGTTAAATCGATTTCAGTACCCGCGCGTTGTACGATAACAGTATCTATCAGCTGATCCGTGACATTTTAATCTAAATGTATAGTTAAACTTTACGTAATTTGACAATTTTGGTACATAATATAGTCCTCATTATAAAGAAGTGACAAGTATTTTGATCGTCGAAATCGGTGCAGTGGTTCGTGAGTAATCGCATTTTGTATTTACAAAACATCGGTAAATCAAAAACTCCCTGACCTAGGGCAACCCGCGATCGCCCCGCATCTACTTCAGACCACATTCAATTGCATGTAAGCGCCTGTTAAATAAGCTATAGCAAGTCACCGTATTAACTTTTTGCTAAATTTACCACACCTGTTCCGCAAATATGAGTACAAAAACCTTGAAAAACAAAAAATGTGGCGCGTGCTCTGAAGAACTTATCACGCAATAGCAGCTTAAATGTATTACATGCAGTCTTAAATACCATTACGATTGTATAAACACCAGCAGCAAAAAATATAAAGAACTTTCTACTGATTTTAAAAACAATTGGGTTTGCCCGACTTGCCGAGCAAAGCAACCAAAATGTGATAATTCTAACCCGCCTCTTCGCAGCTCTGGAATCTGATATCTGGTAACATCACATTAAGACGCACACACACAACCTACGCACTTAACTCAAAGTCAGGAATCTCTCACTCTTGAGAGTATAAAGCACATAATTCATGGTGAGATTAATGCATTTATAAACAAAATTGAAAGCAATATCAGCAAAATTATAGAAAATAAAATAAAGGGACTAATCGTGGAAATCACTGATCTATAGGAATCTGTTCTTTTCATTACTAACCAATACGAAGATTTAAAAAAGGATATGCAAGTAAAATTTAAAAATGTAAAACAACTAAAAGAAGAAAATGATTGCCTTAAATCAACAGTAAAAGACCTCAATAGTCGCTTAAGCATAATGGAGCAGCATTCAAGAATGAGCAACCTAGAGATACAATGTGTTCCAGAACATAGGGCCGAAAATATACCTAATATTATTACACAAATAGGGAAGATTACTGGCACTAAAATATCCGACGCTGATATCCATAAATGTACAAGAATCGCCAAGATTAATCCACAAAATGCACGACCGCGGTCTATTATTGTGAAGTTTGCTTGTCCACGGGTTCGTGATAGATTCTTAGCCGGAGTAATAAATTTCAATAAAAGTAACACCAATGAAAAACTAAATACAAGCCACATCGGGATAGCTGGCGACAAAAAAACCAATATTTGTAGTAGAACATTTGACCCCGGAGCTGAAGAAAATCCATGCCCTTGACAGAGCGACAGCAAAGAAATTAAAATACAAATTTGTATGGAATAAAAATGGTTGTGTCTTTTTAAGAAAAACCGATAATTCTGAGCATATTTTCGTGCGTAATATCGAGCAGCTCGAAGATTTATAATAGTAAAATACTTATCTGTCTAGTCTCTTATCGAAATTCTGTTTAAATACGATACATTAAATATATATTACCAAAACGTAAGGGGGATTCGTAGTAAGGCGCGTGATGTAAAACTTAACATACTGTGTAATGATTTCGACATCTTAATTTTTACAGAAACTTGGCTTAATGACGGTGTGTTCGATAGTGAGTTTATTGATGATCGCTATACGATATACAGGAGAGACAGGGAGCAATTAGAATCAAAAAGAATCAAAAATGGGAGGGTGTAATGATAGCCGTTAAAAATACCTTAAAATCAAGCCGTTGCCTGCACTAGTAGAGTAACTGCGAAGATTTGTGGATTACGGTTGATGCAACTATAGATCGTAAACCATGTCATGTTGCAATCTGCGTAGTATACTTGCCACCTCAGATGAATAGCAATGTGCTAAGTGAATTCTTAGAAAATGCGTCCAAAGCTATTAATACAAATGAATACGTCATGCTAACGGGGGATTTTAATATTAGTAGTATTTCATGGTCGAAAGTACCGGAATTAAATTGTCTACACCCCGTTAGTAGTTCTAACTTAGCGTCTAGTTTTGTTGATTTTATCGAGGAACAGAATTTAAAACAATTCAATTCAATATTTAACGCAAATGGTAGGTTGCTTGATTTGGTTCTTTCAAATCATACTCATGTGAGAGTTAGTCAAAACTTCAATCCAATCAGCATAATCGATAATCATCATCCGTCACTTAACCCAAAGCTTGATTTCTTGAAGATTAATACGATCAATGCACAGCTTAATGAAAGGTACAACTTCTTTAGAGCAGATTATGAGGCCATTAATAAAGAATTAGATGGTACAAATTGGTCAGAACTATTACTAAACTGCGATTCAGTCAACTCAATGCTTAATGAATTTTATTACAAATTAAAATCAATAATTGAAAAACACGTGCCAAAGACTAAGCTTAAAAGTACAAAGTTTCATTTATGGTATAATAATAAATTAATTTATATGTTAAAAATTAAAAATAAATATCGAGTAAAAAGTAGAATTTACAATAACCCTCTAGACATACTCAAATTTAAATCACTAAGGTTTAGCTGTATTAAATTAATTAAAGCAAGTTATAATAATTATATTGAATGTGTTGAAAGTAACCTACAAAAAAATCCTAAATATTTTTGGATACACTTACGTAAAAAATACGTAAAAAACCCTTCAAACACGTACCCAGCCAGAATGGTACTTAACAATAAAGTTGCTACCGACGGCCCAGGAGTGTGCAATCTCTTTGCTGAATCCTTTGATTCCGTATACGAGAGGAGAGACCTAACCTGCAGAAACATTCCCCTACAAATAGTTACCGTAAACAATATCTGCTTAATAAACATTAATGTTAAGGAATTAATAAAAAAATAAATAAAAAGACTTGACGCAAAGAAAGGTGCTGGACCCGACGATCTTCCTCCATCGTTTATTAAGAAGTGTGCTAAAGCGTTGTCTTTGCCTATCTGTACATCCCTCTGTACCGGGGTCTTCCCAGATATGTGGAAACTTGCAAGAATAGTGCCTGTGTACAAAAAAGGGAATAGAGATAATATTGCCAACTACAGACCCATATCAATATTATCAGTTGTCTCTAAGATCTTCGAGTCCTTAATCTCGCCTATATTGTCACGCCATGTCCGCCACGCTATCTCAGACACCCAACACGGATTTATGACATCTCGATCTACTGTCACAAACCTTTCATGAATTTTTGAATTTTATAACACCCTACGTCGACTCAAGTAGATGCTATCTACACCGATTTCTCCAAAGCCTTCGACAGGGTGTATCACCAGTTGTTAATAGCGAAACTATCATCTTTCGGAATCGGGGGGCCATTACTTTCGTGGTTCGCTTTTAAAAGACAGATTTTCATACGTAGTGATCAGAATGGGTGCACCTCGGGACTGCCTCAGGGATCCATATTAGGACCCATATTATTTAATATTTTAGTAAATGATGTAACTAATTGTGTACATAATTCAAAATGTTTCATCTTTGTGGACGATCTGAAACTCGCAAAAGCAATTCTAAACGATCATGATGCACAATCTCTACAAGAAGATGTCGATAGAATTGCTCGTTGGAGCAAGTTAAATGGCATGGATCTCAACGCTTCTAAATGTTCATATATCAACTTTACGCGTAAGCATACTGTATCAGAAACCCAATACACGTTGAACAATAATCCACTTCAGAAGCTTGAATCCATCCGAGACTTAGGAATTACAATTGATGCTAAATTAAGATTTAATGTTCACATTGAAAATATTTGTAGATCGGCTCGCAAAATGCTTGGGTTTTTATACAGGAATTCAAAAAGTTTTAAAATAATCAAAACAAAAAAACTTCTTTACACTTCCTTAGTTAGAAGTAAATTAGAGTACGGCACCATCATATGGAGCCCTAATTATCAAATACACAAAGATCGTATAGAAAGCATTCAAAGACGATTCACTCAATATTGTTCTAGTGGTAATCACATGGAATCCTATTCCACTCGTCTCCTAAAACTAAAATTAAACTCACTATCGGACAGACGTAAACTACATGATTTAGTTTTTTTGTACAAGCTTACAAATGGGACCATAGATTCTGCAGAATTACTATCATAAATATTGTTCAAAGTTCCCTGCCGTGTACCCCGTTTTTCGATTCCCTTACTCAAACACAAATTGGATAAAACTAATCTTGGTCATCACTCTCTTATACCGAGAATAAGCAGATTGTATAACGAATGTGTCCTTATATATTGACTTATTTAGCGACAGTATAAAATCTTTTAGAGCCAAAATTGACAATCTATTTAACAACTCATAGTAAAAATTATACCATAACTTTATATAAACTCAATATAAATGTTGTTATTTTTATATATATTTATTTTTCATATATTTCGTATTGTCTAATTGTTTTTGTTTGTTTTATATTAGTATTTTACTCGTACTTGCAACAATTATTAAGTTATCGTACAGTTATCGTCTTTTTTAAACATGCTGTAACTACCTTTAAATGGAAACATGTAAATCTTAGTTCCTAAGCCTATTGTCACATTTTTTTTTCAAAACAACATGTTGTTCCGTTGGTGGTTCTATCAATAAAAATAAAAATATTATAGTATATTGAACACTAAATGAAAATTACAAATATACTGGACAACGAAAGGAACGACGTCGCACTCTACGCCACACGAACAGTCAAAAAATAGGTAAATGAATTATTTTGTAGTATTTATAATTTTACCTGTTTTATACTTTGCAACCACCACCAGACCGCGTCACGACAATTGAAACGAGCATTGTGACCGCCATCTAGCAAGTTAGGTATAAGCCCATGTCGTAAGCAGGCAGCGTACGCCAGGATGTGAGCTCGTGCGTCCTGAAAGTGGAAACCTAAAATAATACCTAGTTGAGGTGTTATTATATCTATTATTAACTTATTAATTAACGAAATCCGCCTTAGGTCTGTGATTATCTTATTTATATTATCTTCTGAAAATAATTAATGAAATAATTTTTTGGGACAAGAATTACGTTTTGATTAAGTAATGACTCAGAGACGGTTGATATTCGTTTTAAAAGAATCGAGACTTGCTTGTTTGTAGTTCATTATGTTTCGTTCAAAGATTTATTGGATACTAAAAAGTCAAAGTGGGAATATGAAACGTATGAAACGTACCGTCAATCAAAAGGACCTTAAGATCACACATACACGTGTTATGTTGTTTAGTCTAGGATAATTTTCAGTTTTCCGTGCCAGAGCCCACTTACTAGGGGGCAAATTTTCATCTTTTAGAAATATATCAAGAACTTTTTTCCAAATTTAGCTCGCCATTTTAGTCGGAAAAAATATTCAGTTAACCAGCCTTTTCAAAACTCTTGAACTAGTCTTTGAGTATGTCTGGATAGCAGACTGCATTTATCAATTTTATACCGCGGTCTGATATCATGACTGGTACTTCTCTAATGATGAAATACCCAGCGGTTAGTACTTGAATGTCTGGCGTTCAAGCCTTGACTTTTTTATTAAACTATCTTCATCGAAGTGGTGAACATTTTCCAAACTCCTTAAAATAGCTAAGTGCATGCATCTTCGAATGAATCTTGAATCTTGTTCGTCTTCCTTTGGGAACACGTGCATTCTGTTTTCTCGCCAAGGCTATCCAAGGGAACTTCTGCCAGCCATCTCTTCCATATCTGCACAGGGAGGATGACTCACTGGCCCATGCCGCAAAGGACAAAGCCGATCTATTGGGCTCTCTCTTTGCGTCCAACTCGACCCTTGGTGACGGAGAGAACACACAGCCGATCATCCCGCAATGTGAGTGCTCCATGCAGGATGTGCTGTTTACCCAACGCACGGTGCGCGAAGCACTCCTCTCCCTGGACATCAACATGTCGAGTGGGCATGACGGCTTCCCTCCTATTGTGCTGAAGACATGTGCTCCGGAGTTGGCACCGGTCTTAACGCGTTTTTTCCAGTACTACTACTCCCTAGGCTTAGTCCCGAAATCATGGAAAATAGCTTTCGTGTACCCGAGCCCTAAAAAAGGTAACCGCTCTGATTCGTCCAACTATAGGCCTATCTCCATCACCTCCTTGTTCTCTAAAATAATGAAATCTATTATTAACAGCCAGCTTATGCGGTAATTTGAGAATCACCTGCTGACTAATGACGTCCAGTACGGTTTCCGTCTTGGTCGCTCGGCTGGTGATCTTTAGGTTACCTAACTCATAAATGGGCGAATGCAGTAGAGTCCAAGGGGGAGGCGTTGGCCGTTAGTTTGGACATAGCGAAGGCCTTCGATCGAGTTTGGCAAAAAGCGCTTCTTACGAAGCTTCCTTCCTATGGGCTTCCCGAGAAATTGTGCAATTGGACCACCAGCTTTGTTGCTGATCGGAGCATCAAGGTCATAGACTGTGCTTGCTCTGATTACAAGCCCATTAACGCTGGTGTTCCCCAAGGCTGCTTGCATATTGTGTGGTATGGTGCATATTGTGACGGCCCATCATTAGTAATTAAATTCAATATAAGAGGGCGTCAAAAATAATCTTAAGAGATATATTAATAAAATAATTAGATAAATACATTTCAGACATTAGACAAATAATACAGTAAATTAAAGGACAATGAGTAGTCCTATATTAGGTAATTATGATAGTAAACTCAATTATACAAAAGCAATACTATAGAAGAAGGTCTCTATTACGAATTTGCATTTCAATAGTAGGGTCGTGGGTTAAAGTCCTATATATTAACGACTTATGAAAGTTAGGTCTATGATACAAAAACAATACTATAGAAGGTCTCTATGATGAATTTGCATTACAATAGTAGGGTCGTGGGTTGAAGTCCTATATATGAATGACTTATGAAAGTAAGGTCTATGATACAAAAGCATTATTATATAAGGTCTCCTTGATGCATAAGCATTATATGGGGTGGTCGGGTAACCGACTGCTCTTAGTACTGTAGCAAAATGACTAGTCCTTTATTAGGAACTTGAAAAGTATTATTACGGTGGCGTGTATGCTGCTTCACGAGCAATTGGTCCGAGGTAAACTTGGACTCGCTAACCGATGTGTCCTAAACATATCATCTTAGTGTCGGTGGTAAGCGGGTTTGTTGTAGTAATAAAGCTTTCCCGTGGACATCGCACACCCATACCGTTTGTGAGCGGCGTCGTAGCGCATAGCGATGCGTCGTCTATCTTTCAGATTGGCATGAGTGTGTTTGGTAGCACTTTTAAGTGTAACAGGCGTACTCAACTTCATGTCTTAGTGCATTAGCGCTATGATACGTGGAGTTTTGTTCACTGGCGTTTTAGTAGCGTGCTACTATGATACATTGGTGATATCTTTTAGTTAACAACAATACAAACTTTGTTACCACATCGATAGAGATCATGTGGGTGTGTTGTGAGGAGGCGCCATCCGTATGATAGTTGCATTGATGCTTACTGCTTCTTGTGGTATTGCGTCTTGTGATGGATCTGCGGGTGTGCTGCCCCTAATTCAACGCATTCTTGTGGTTCTGGTCGATGAAGGTATTCGGGTGGTGATGTCTGCTGTGATGTATGGGGGACCTTGGGATGGTGTAAGCCGACGATAGTCGTATTGATGCTTGTTGCGTTCTGCATCATTGCGTCTCTGCGATGGTTATTTGGTGGGATGCTATTCTCAATGGCGCTCTCTGCGTCTTGGTTTGAGTCATACCTAAGGAGCTTTGCCCAAGTCGGGTCCCTTTATTACGGCGCTGCAGACTGTCTGTCCTCCATGATGTTTTATATAACAACATAATAATAATATATCTCTATAACTTTCCCACCTTTGAATGATTGAAGGCAACTTGAATTGAGACAAACATGATCGAAAATGCAATGCATGCAAATGCAGTGCATTTACTCAACGTCAGTGACACAAAAACTTTCTGATGGCAAATTATTACTAACATCTATTAACTGCCTTTTTCCTCCCTATATTTTTTTTAAATAAATGTAGGAGAGCGAAGCCCTTGTATTGGGTATTTTGTATAAATATAGTGTGAGCCGCTTCCAAGCGGGAAGGAATAATTAATAATAAATTAATAATGAAAACCTGATACAAGTGGAATAGGGACGTTTTATATTCTTAACCTTTCTTGACTGTCTTCGTGAACGGGGTTCACTTAGCTTATAAGGCACTACCAACAGCTTTCAATTGCTCTAGCGAATATTTATTCTTCCAAAGGACACCTAAAAGAACTAAGTTACTAAACAAACACAACGTAAATAAGGGTCCTAACTAAGACTATCACGCCAAAAACATTACAAACGGTGTTCGTTTACTAACGAACTTTCACTTGGAAATGAGATACGTAATTGAGACAATCAGTACGTTGCCAACACAAATGAGCTAATTTATTGAAAAATTCTTTGCACCTTATAAAATTACAAATAATCTCAACATCGAGATTCAGTTATTTCAATTTTTATTATGGCGACATCTAGTGACAAGTTAAACGGTTATACAGTTATACAGGAGCAAAGAGATTACGAAATACAGTAAATCGATTAGTACAACGGCATCTGGTGACAAGCAAATAGTTATACAAGAACAAAAGGATTATGAAAGACGGTAATCTATTAGTAGTACGACATCTGTTGACAAAAAATAGTTAAACAAACGGCCTATTATTAAACTTTAGGAGATCATTTAGAAAGATCAAAACATATCTTATTTATCCTGGTCATACATATATATATATATATATGTATGACCAGAAAAGAAAAATACGCTAAATCATAACTCTTGAACCTTGCAAGGCGCGTCCCGGGATAGGAACCGGTTGGCGGAATGCGCGGGGGGGGGGGGTATTCATTTGCGCTGGCGACCGTGCCTGCTAGTCGGCAGGATTCTTTTGAGATTGGCATCTTAATTACTGTTAAAATAGATTAGTTAAAGTGTACGAAGGAATTTTGCTTTCGCAACGCATGTGGTGCTGCTGAACGATTACCTCGGTGACGTCAGGTTACATTACACACTTTCCTACACCACACACACATATCATTTACTTACCCGTGACGGTGCATTGTGGTCGACACTACCTCCGGAGCTCGGTAAGTTTTTGTTTGATTATAGCAGCCGTTATAAATTCACTATCCATAGGCCAAATTGGGCTTACCCTCGGTTACTCGTCCAGTTGGATTACTATGGGCCCTAGTCCAGTCGACTTTTTTCGGAGTAACTGAGGGCCGTAACAATAATATTTATTCAAAAAGGGGAAATTACCTAATTAAACCTATTATAATATAGTTATTAAGAGGGGCGGAGCGTCATAATATCAATGAGATGTTGCAAACCGGTAACATTCTTTGCTATACAGACGACAGCAGTGGGGATGCTTTATACACCGGCTGTGCCAATATTTCTCGGATAAACGTCGCTGTGTACCGGGGCAAACTTGTGTCTGTAGTCGAGATTTTGTTAATCAAAATCTCGGACTGCGGGCGACTAAATCAGTCCAGTTTAATCACTAAACACACGCTAAAAAGAACCCCTTCGTCGTATCTCCTCAGTTTCAACGCACTCCCCTTGTTACCGCAGCCAGTATCGGAATCCTCGGCGTCGACATATCGAGTGACGTACAGTTTCGTGGTCACTTGGAAGGGAAGGCCAAATTGGCCTCTCTCTGAAAAAGCTTGGCGTGCTCAGCAGAGCGGGACAGTATTTCATGCCGGCTCACCGCCTGCAACTTTGCAAGGCGCAGGTTCGGCCGCACATGGAATACTGTTCCCATCTCTAGGTCGGGGCTCCCCAGTGCCAGTTCCTTCCATTTGATCGCATCCAGTGCAGAGCAGTTCCAATGGTCGGCGACCGAGCTCTTTCCGATCGGCTTGA